TGCAGTTTGCCTGTCTCTGCTGGATTTGGGCCTGGGAGGCTCTGGAAAAACTGCACACTTTCGTGTCAGCCGAGAATTGGATGGGGAGCAGAGCGTGCCATAAGGCTGCTCATTTCTGGCACAGGAAAAGCACTGGTCTGGCTGTTAAAATACAGCAAATGGCACTTCTTTGCATTTATCCAGCTTCCAAACAGAAAACAAGGAACTGGTGTGATAGCACAAATAGGCGGAAAGCAATTCCACGTTAAGACGTGCTAAAATACCTTCGCCTCAAAAAAAACCCCTGCGGCCTGGGCTGCACAGGAGTGACTGATGGTAGAAAAGCTATCAAATGTCCAGGTCAGCCAGCATCGAATCGATATTAAAATGACCTGGGCAATATGGCTCAACAAAGCTCTGCTCAGACCATTCATCTAGGCAGGCCAGCTCTCGCCCGGGATGAAGAAATAGCCAGTGACAAAGGACTTTCTGAGATAACGACAGCAGCGACTTCCACTTCTGTAAATGACTTATTTGTTCAAACCTGCTGCTCTCTTCACACGTCTGCAGTGTTTTGCAGTGAATGTGATAAAGTATCAACCCAGCCTATATAAAACCCGCCTTAAAAATCACTGTCTTTAGGAGGAAGAGGTACTTCCTCTTAAGTGGCTGAGCTAAACTGTTTCCAAGCATTTCCAGCCCGGCTCAGTCCAGTCACTAAACCCTTGGATCAACTACTGCTTTCAGTTACACCTGTAATAAGCCCGTGGTAGGTCACTGGGCTTGTTCCAGTTTATACCAGTTCAGAAAACAGTCAGGAATGGGATTTTTGGTTTGTTTGGGTTTCCCCGCCACCCTTCAGGAGACGCTGGATGGCCGTCGTCCAGGTGAGAGGAGCCCTGGCCCACGGCTGTTCCTTGTTTGGCATCACCACCCAGGGCAAACCGTGCTGTGGGCAAGGGCCACCTACGTTCTGATTTCCTGCGAACCTGCAAAGGCTTGAATGTACACATGCACGCCCTCCAAGTATTTGCTTCATGAATAACAGCTTCACAGCTCTTGCAAAAGCGAGCTAAAAAGAGCAGCAAATACCAATATATCCTCTTAATGCTTCTCCAGATAGAAAAAAGAGAATAAAACTTCTCTTATGAAGTTAACTTCCACTGACTTCCAGGACCAGCCAGCAAGATACCACCGAGCCTCTTGCAGCCTGAATTCTCGGAGGCTATTCATAAACCAATTTAGTACCATGGTTTATTCTGAAAAATGTAGATCCCAGCAAAAATGTGTCTGTCCCCCTCCAGCTGTACAATGGGTATAAAAGCCAGACAGGCGCTAGCTGCGTACGTTACGGCGCTCTGCTGTTACAGCAAGAGGGCAAGAAAGCGCGTATGTACGGAGACCTGTGTGTGTACAGCCCTTCTCCCCGCTGTGCCAACTCTTCTCCCCAGCTGTGAGCCGCAGAGAGGTCGCCAGCGGTGACACACGCTCGACAAGATGCCGCAGACCGGAGCGCTTTTTCAAGCACTGATGTTTTCTTTATGAGGCAAATGTTTCTGCAAGGGTTTAACTTTTTTATATATTCTCCTACATGAAAAATTAAAAAAACCAAAGTGTTCCTGTCTCGGACATTTTTTTGTTGCTGCTGTAACCAGTACTGAAAGAAAAGTGCTCCGTGTCCCTCAGACAACGCGCATGCCACCAGACCGGCTTTGCTGGTGTGTCGACAGCGGAGGTGCCGGAGGGAGGTTTGGAAATGGGCCCTGGGGGGCTCTTGGAACGGGGAAACAGTTTTGAGCCATTGCTGCTGCACGGCCCGGCCTGTGGAAAGGGCTGAGCACAGAGACCCTGTCAAACCTGCAAGAGGTAACAAATTACTGTGGCTCTGAAATGAGAAGGCGCACGTCTTCACGCGGGTGCAATTTGCCTTGAGACAGCTGGAAAAAAAAAAGGATGTGAACATTAAAAGCATTTAAGAAATACTGTGTATCTCTTTTCCATAGCAAAGGTAGGAGATTCAGACAAATAAACACAGTTTTACAATTTGTACCTGCAGTTTTGGGGAGATTATATTTGCCGTTAAACAGCTAGTGTCCCTCCTTAGCAGCGAAGGATTGCGAAACCCTCGGTGGACAGTGCTTAGAAACGCTCTCGAAAATGCCAGTTATCCCCGCTGCATCCCCAGCAACATGCAATTCCAGTTTGCTCTTTACTAACCCAGCACAGATGGTGCAATGCACGCCTTGGAGGATGCTGACCCGCTACTGTACTTAGTGCAAAACCTGGTGCTGCTTCTTAGCTATGGAGTAAGAAGAAAATTTATTGTTTGGGGTAGATTGGGATCTGTAATCCCAGCACCAGCAGTCAGATTGAAAGTCTGATTCCTTAAAAAGCAAAAGCTCGGCTGTAATACCATGGATATATACACACGGATAAAACAGAGATGGCTTTGACGTACAGAGTCGTTCATACAACATTCCTGTCATGTCACAAACGTATCAGCCTAAAAGCTTTCCTCATTCTATTACAGTTCCCAAGCGGAGCCGGGACCCGACTCTGCCCATGGAGGCTGCCAGCTCTACACGGCGTTCCCACGTTCTTTGCACAACAACGTGCCCTCAGCCACACAGCTCAGTAACTGCGCAGGCAGGCAAAGTAGCATGACAGACCATCAAAACAGGCAGAATCCATGTAGGTGTTCATTTTAAGGTCATTTCCCTAGTGGTCATCATTCATTCTGAGGACTGAATTCTGTACTTTGACATGTAGGTAATAAAAGCTTTGGTGCAAAGCGGTGGACTTAGGCATGAGTGTCAGTGAATTTCTGAATCGGAGATCAGCTGGCCGCCTCCGCCCTGGCGTGCCCTACTGCTACCTCGGAGGGTCGGTTTGGTCCGTTATCCAGAAATACGGCCTAACGAACCCAGCACCCCGCAAGACAAATGAATTTTAAACTGGGTTTCTTTGGTTTTGGTTTTTGTTTTATGCAACCAAAGTTCACAGTAGCTGGCTGAATGCTGGGTGGCTGGAGAGAGCTAAAAACAAACGAATACTGACACTAGATGAAATACTTCGGTCAACTATCAACTACAGGCTGCAGTGGCCTTCCCGGCCATGGAGTACTCTTCGCTCTGGCCACCGCCAGGAAAGCAAGCGGGGTGGGAGCGTGTTGCAGGGGCATGGAGGTTGTTTTTTGCTTCTGAGTAAGCTTTGGTGGTGCTCTGGCTCCAGCACACGTGCTGGGTGATTTGGTTTCTGCCCCATTCCCTCTTTGTCAGGGCTTTTTTTGGTACATTACACATCTTGGGCAACGCATGCGGCTCGTGCTCTCCCTGACCACCCCCCCCTCCTTCCCCGCAGCTCACACTGGCAAACTGGGAGGGGAGTGCAAAATTCTGGCAAACAACTTTTTTGGCCTGCCAAGACGGCGGTGTGGATAGAAGAGGTGTTCTTCAAGGGGAGGTTTTATATGTAACTGCATTTTGGGTCCGCTCTCCCCAGCAGCATACTTTGGAAATGGCGCTGTGCCAACGCTCCCGAGCGACTTCAGTTACGCGCTACAAGAGAAACAGGATCGTTTGGAGAGGTGAACCCCAGCACGGCACCAACGTCCTCTTCGTTGCAAGCAATAATGTAAGCAAGAGAAAAAAGCTTGGCTTGGGGTATTGCTGAAGCAGTAGGCAAATGTGAAGCTGCGATGTTTGGGGTCTGGGTGAGCCTGCTCCTGAACCTGCTCCAATTCTGGCCCTTCGTGCTGGCAGCTTTGCCTCTGTCCTGTCTCTCTCCCTTTCTCCCAGAGCAGAGCTGCTTGGGTTTTGCATTTTTTTTTTCCTTCCCTTGTCTGACTGCTTTCCTATTGCGTGTGGGCTGAAGATGCGGTCAGTCCGTGCGCCAGCAAAGTGGCCATCACTCACCCAGACAGGCACCCGCAGGACAGATAGGAAAGAGCAGAAAGTCAGTGTCATTACCGAAAACGTAGCAATTTGGCCGCAATTATTTATAGCAACTTGGTACGTGTGCCTGTGTGCTTCTCCACATGACGACAGGCATCGCTCCCAACCACTACCGGGTCTGGATGCCACGGTGCGATAACCCCCGTTTTCTTGGTTATAACTGTATTTTTGGGCTATCTAGAAATACATGACTCAACTGTCTTTCTTACCTGCGACATGCCACTGTGTTTCTGGAGAGAGCACTTTGCCTTTCAGGGGTAAAGCACCCGGTTCCTTCTCCCTGTGGGCACTTGCTCCCTCCACGCCAAGGGAAAACCAGGGCGGGAACCTGCTCATCTCCTCGGGCTCAGCCCTCCGCAGCGGAGCGTGTGGCCGGGCTCCCTCCCCTCCAAAACCCAGCCCCTGCTCTACTTCCACATGCTCTGACATGCCGCTTACGTTGCTCACAACGTATTTGTGATTAGATGTCTGTCTGGAGAATTCGGCTGTCTTCAAGTTTGGGTTGGAGCTGAGCAAAGTTCAGTAACAGAAAGCATTTTAAAACCATGTTTCGCAGAAGACTTGACCCGAGCTCCACTTAGAGCAACCCCTGCCAGCACTTGCAAGGCGGTACTTTGTCAGCGTTGAACCTCCAGCTACTCATTAATCATTTCACTCAGTTCAGATGGAGGACACAAAGCAAGGGGGAGGTGGGATATTTCCAGAACAAACCTATTTTTTGGTTACACATGAGTGTCTTAGTGTCGGCTTTGCTGACAAGCTGGAGCCCCACCCCAGCGATTTGTGCTCAGCCTTTGGGAAAAGAGTGAGACCGCTCTGAGGAAAATGATTTAAAATGCCTTCAGATGCCTTTTCACTTCTTTTTATTTAATTCCATAAATATTTTCATAAGGCTCAGTGTCTTTACAACACTTTTTTAAACACTTTTTTTGTTTTATACACACAACTTTTGACACTTGTTTGACAGGGTCAAACAGTCCAATATAAACAAAATAATAAAACTGGCAAGTGCGGATCAGCTGGGTTACCAAAATCCTTTTTTTTTCTTTTTTTTTTTTTTTTTTTTGCTCTTACTGTTAAAACCCCAAAAGCACTAAAATATCAGTATTTGGCTTCAAACTAGAATTTTAAAAACCTTTTTTTTTTTTTTTTTAAATTCTCTGCTACAAGTCCCTGTCGTCATAGTGCCTTTAAACTCCTACAGACTCTTCTTTTCTTCTTAAGGAAAAATAAGCTTGGTGATGCCATGCAGAACTTACAATAGCTACTAAATATACATGTTCCCTGAAATGTAGCTGCAATGAAAAGATGACAGAGCATAAAGAGAACAAAACCAGAAACCCAAAGCACCACAGTGTACTATCAATAACATTGCAGTGGACGGCCAGTGACCGTCCAGAAACTGAAACAAATTTCAAATATATTTCTCTATGTATTATTTTCTATTTACAACTGTTAGATGCACCTAGGTTGGTTCTTGTTTGATCTTTTTGGAGAGGGTGGGGAGGCGAAAGTCTTGAATTTAGATCCTCTGTTCTAGTGTCTAGGTCAAGGGGTAATGCGTGTCATTTACCTAGGGAAGAGGGTATTGTTATTTTTTATATATATATATATAGATTCAGCCAGAGAAATACCGTAAACATGTAAGTTTGTTACAACTCTCTTGTTTCTGCATATGGAATGGTAAGTGGGTTCCTCCTGTCTGGCATTGAAATGAAAGTCTGTATCAGATGCTCAGTCAAAATCACCCCAATCTGATTGCATCTGCGCTGCTCCCAGCGCTTTCAGACACACGAGGCAGCCCAGCCCTGCTCCCTAGTGGGAAAGCCACCGTAGGTAGTAAAAGTGGGACCCAGTGCTGGTTCTTCTTTGTGATAATGCTCCATCTCTTGCAGCACCTTGGCAATTTATGGAGGGGAAGAGCTTTCTTGAATGCCATGCCTGAGAGCCAAGCCCCTCTTCCCTCCGGAACAAACGCCTGCATCTGCTTTGCCTGCCGCCTGGCTTCGGCAAGCACTAGCAACGCTAGCTTGTTTTGGCTTTCCATTTAAGAAAGAAGCTGCGAGTCCAACAAGTGGCCTTGTCAGATCAAGCGAGTCTTGATTTATGATGCAAATAATGGTGTGGCGGTGGTGTTTCTTTTTTCCTAGTGCTGAATATTTAGGAAGCATCTTCTCATAAAAATTATGGATGTCTCATTCTCACTCTCTGAGGCACAAAACAGTAAATGAACAGGCTTAACTAATGTGCTTGTTACTTTTTTCCCTAAGCAATTAAAAAGGCAAAGGAATAAGTGAAATTTTCATCATGTTGACAACAGTTTGTAATCTCTCTCTTTCTCTCTCTCTCTGCATCTCTCCAGCCATTCCGAAATAGTAAAACATTTCAGTTAACTTCTGAGAACCCATCTCATTCGCTTCTTTAAATACCCATTCTGTTAAAGAAACAAAATAATATTTGCTACATATTCAGTATTAAACTCTGACCATAAAAATGCAAAGATACAAAAGAGCATAAAAATAAGTTCTGATACAAAATTGGGTTGCCTCCTATTTGGGATTCCCGGTGCTTCGCTGCTGCCTGTCACAGAGGGGCAAAAACACTTCCTCTCCAAAACACTAATCCGGCTCTGCTGTTTATTGATAGCTTCTAGATTACTAAGAAGTGCTGAGATTATTTTTGTACTGAAATAAAAACTATAGCCACTGCCTTGTAATATGCCCTGAAATAAAACAGGCTCCATGGACATACTGAAATCACACCCTCTGCTCTTCCCATTCGCTTGTATTTCTTAGCAGAGAAAAAAAAAGTATCTCCACGCTAGTTGGCCTGGGGTGCTTATGTGGTGTATCAGATTCAAAAGAAAATGATAAATACCGCGATCAATCACTTCATCCCACATTTTCAAAGGAGGGTGCAGAATAGCTCTGCAAAGTTTTCAAGTTCATCTTCTAAATCTGGTTAAACAGTCTCATTCGCCCTAGGAAAAAAAAGTCATCCTAGTGCACAATGATTTGTTTTACAAGCTTAAACATAAGCTTTTGCGCTTGCAAACAAATGTACTTAAGGCTGAAATTGTAGGAAATGTCTTTGAAAATAGAGCTATGAATCTCCAGAGGGAGAAAAAGAGAGAGAAAGAGACCTGGAGAGTTTAGCTCATCACTCCAGAGCCCGCTGACACCGATACACCTCTGCTGAACCATTGATGCCGTTTAGATTAAACTGATCGCTGATTTAGATTAGGTCATACGGCTAAACTTCTCAGGTCACATCCGTATCTTTCCTGAAAGGCAGTTCTCAACTCCTCTGCAGCTCGGGTGCATTAAATATCAGGTAAATACTTCCAATGACTTAGGCAATGATCCCTCCGCTAACGGGTCACTACCGGCAGCTCATGTTCTGCTTGGGAGGTCAGTGCCCAAGTGAAGCCAGGGATCTCACATGCAATAGAGTAGAGCAGGCAGTGAGCGCAGTCATGCTCCTCACTTTTGGGAGCATTGCTCCTGTAAGTGGCAGTTAGTGGTTCATTAACGCAGTACTGTGCAGGCGTGAGCGTGGCCAACAGGATGGGACCTTAGTTCCTGAAGAAAGAAAACTGGCCATTTGTTGGAGCCTAATAGCCAATTTTCCTCTAGCTGGAATGGAGGGCATGAAGCCACCGGTTTGTAAGCTTTTATCTTTGCTTGGAAAACAAAGATAGGAGTGGGCTTTTCAGAGTCGTGTCTCAGCTTAAAAAGAAAATAAATCAAAGATAACCCCACAGAAATAAAACTAAATGCGAAAGAACTAAAAGCCCCTGATATTCTTTTCTCAGTCTTACTCCGAGTGTGAACAAATCACACTGAATTGAGAAAAAGACAGTGCTTAAAAAAAAAAATGCAAAAAATTAACCAAGGAAAACCCATCTCTCACTTCCTAAATAGCTGATACCCCTTCTGCTCGTTTTCACCAGCCCACAACAAAACAGGTAAAGCCAGAGAAATACTGCGCAGCAGAGCATGGTGCACAAGGGAGCACATCCAGACAGGCACGAGTCAGACCAGAGAATGCAGGACGGGGACGGGGAAAGGGTCGATGCTCTTCATTGAAATGATAACTCCGGGGACAGCCAAGGAAGGGGCGGAGAGGGAGGGAGAGGGAGCGGAGATCTCCCAGCACTCCAAAAAAAAACAAACAAACCCCCCCCCCCCATAAATAAGATAAAATAAAATATACACCAATGTAGTCCATGAGGAACTTCGATGACGAATTCACACAAGCGAGAAAGCATTCTGGGATGCCAATGACGACTTGAATGAAAATGAAGAAGAAAAGAAAAAAAAAAAAAAAAAAGATGTCCGACCAATGGAATAAAATAAAATAGGTCACATAGGTAGAAATCATTGGTGCTTCCTAGTATCTAGTAGCAGATTGCTTCCCAAAAACAACAAAAAAAGTTTTTGGTCCTTCTATATATATACATATATGTATATATATTATTATTTTTAAAATGTGTGTATATATATATATGTATATATATTTAGTTGCAACAGTGCTTCTCCGAAAAAAGGTCCATCTATAAATATAATTTTATTTATTTTTATTTTTAAATTTTAGTTCTTTTAAGTTAAAATTCTCCATCTCTCTAGGTATTATTTTTTGAATGGTGTTAACCTGCTGAAGTTTTGCCAGAATGGTGCCTGGCTGCGTCTGGGTTCGGTGAACTCGAAGACCTGGGACTGGGATATGCCATCTGTCACCATGTATTGTCCCTGATTTAATGGATCCTGGGGTGGTGGGTAGGCTGGAGGAACCGACTTGGAGTAGCTCACACCTGCATCGATGATTGGGGGGAAAAAGAAACAGATCAGTCAAAGTGCAATTGGGTCAATAGTCTTTCTTCGTCATGCTATCGCTTCTTATCACTTAATAACCAGGGTCCCAAACAACAGGGAGATGTGCTAGAGACGGCAAATCTACGGAGGAACGCAGCAGCTGCCTGAACTCTCAGCTCAGAGGCTACCTACACTAGACCACGAGTTGAAGATTTGGAAAAGATCCATTACTTTTGTATTGGCAGAGTTTTGCCTGCCCTCATGGAAAAGTCCTCTGTGACCTAACGAGGCACAAACACGGCCAGGCCATAGGCAGCATCAATCTGGTCAGACGAAGGCAGACAACTGCATCATTCAACCCGCTCGCAAATTTAACACTTGCTGTTTCCAAGCTCGTTTTCACCCTCCCTCCCAGCTACGCTTGGAAAGAGGTTTTGCCCCAACATGCCCCGGTGACCAGCCCCGAGCAGCGCGACCCCGAGGACCACTCGGCACCGGTTCCTGCACCAGAACGGAGCAGAGCTGCTTTGGAGGAAGAGCTACGCTGCAGGGACCCGTGCCGCTTCAGCGCTATTCTGCCTAATACAAAGGGCAACTCATTATTTTCTTTAGGAAAGTTTGTAGGACTTTTCCATAGGGTTCATTTTAAATTTACCAGTCTGGTTGCAGCCAAAAACGGCTGCACGCAACGCAGAAAAGGCTGATTCTGCTCAATCCAAACTGGTAGCAATGGATGGACTGGCAAGGCTACGCTTTCAGGTTCTAGACACATAATTCCCACATACGTGAGTCACAGCTCCTGTGCAGGAACGCGGTGAGGGGATGCTGCCCTTACAGCTTTCCCATGGAAAGGGGGAGCTTCAGCAAGCTGGGACCTACACAACCTGTTGTAAAGGATGGTGTAGAAAGGGCGGCCCTGGGTGAATGGACGTGGAACAGAAGGGAGGCATGTCACCGCCAAAGTGTAGACTACAGGGAACAGTAATATAGCTACTTCTGTATTTCCTTCCCCGCAACTCCACTGATGAGGGATAATCCCTCCTTCAGCCTCAGGGTAGCGTGATCGTCTGGAAACCACAACTCCAGAGAAGGGCAGGAAGAAGAGAGGAGCAGGGCTCTGAAGCAGGTTGCTGTAAGCTCTGGCCATGTCTGGATCCCCTCTGCTGCATGCAGAACTGCTCTTCCTTCTGCGGGGAGGGCAGCCCCGGCCGCGTGACGGGTGGCAGGCTTCGCAAGGGCCATCTCGAGGCCATTGCCTCCCCTGGTTTTAACCGCAGGAGCGAGGCGACTCTACCCAAGTAGATCAGTGTCCTCATCTGGAAAGCGGGATGGCATTACCCACCTACCTCACACGAGGGTTGTGAAGCTAAATTAATTAATGTTTGTAAAACACTTTGAGATCCTCGGCTGGGAAGGTGCTAGAGAAGGCAAAATATGGTGATTAGCACCCAGGTACCACAGCAACGTGTGTAAAAGAAATGCGACTCTTTGCATTCAGTTAGCGGTTCCTACCCACACACAAACACATGCTTTGTGGGACCAGCGCTGGCCGGCCCGGGCACAGGAAGGCTGCACACAGTCAGGTACTTACAGACAAAGGAAAAAGCCTCACCAAGTGCACTCACGGAGCTCATCAGACAACTTTTATACGTTGCCGCATTGTAATTCAGGACCTCTTTCAGATACAAAGCTAAGGCTTTAGTACGGCTTTAGGAAAGAGAATTAATTCGCTTCCCCTTGCTATAGAATTTACCAATCAAGGGTTGTTAAAATCCTCAAAAGGTGCAGACCAAACGGAGATATCATCTTGACTATGTCTAACTGATTTCTCCTTCTTTACAGCAAATACCATCAAATCATGCAGCTCTCTGTCCACTGTAGGGAGTAACCAAGACCTTTCCTTACGGTGGACAAAAACCGCTCTGTGATTCATACTTATTAATCTTTAACAAATTCATCACAGTTCATATTTCAAACTTACTTGAAAAGAATAACCTGGAGATGTTCTGTATTTGTATCTGCATGCTGGAATAGAGTTACTCATCAACAAGTTTTCTACTCTGTCTTTCCCAAGCTCCTCTCTTCCCGCAGACGGCCTGCAGAGCAGAGTGCAGCCCCAGAGCCCTTGCTGTCCTGGGGTCAAAGCCGGACAGGGTCAGTTCTAGGATACTCGAGACAACTTTTGTGCCATCCTTGTTGGCAGGCCCCAACCGCCAATTTGAATTTACCACACTATGTGAGTTAAGCCAATGACGTCCCGTAAGAGTCGAGCATGGGCTTGAGCTCATCTCTGCCCTACCTCTTCCATCCCTCCTTCTACCACTGTCCTGCTCCGAGTTGCCTTGCTGGAAGGCAGGTCAACGTGAGGGCAGTGTAACCAACTGCAGAGTCTGCTCTGGAGGGCAAACTCTAGCCCTGAACGCACACAAAGGTTTAGACGTTCTCCTGGAGGCCACCAGCCTTTAGTGCCTTGGCCATTTTTCCCAGCAGAGACTGGTGAGGAATTTTAGGATCTGTGGGAAGGTTAGGATCTGGTACAGGTCCCTCACATGGCTAGAGTTGGGAAATACATCTTCTTCTGTCTGGTAAGTGGTTTGGATCTTCGACTGACCCAAAGGCTCAGGAATTACTTCAAAGGCAAATGGTCCTTGTGCCACCAAGATGACTAACTAACGTTCTACAACACAAAAGAGCCGTGAATCTAAAGCTGCTACTAAGGGACATTCAGCAATTGTTTCTAGCTTTGGAAGACCTTAAAACCACATTGCTTTAATGACATGGCCCAGTGTCTTTTGCATCCTGTGGCTGCGGAGCAGCAGTCAGCTTTGTGATGCATCTGGTCTGCCATGCTGAGCTGGGCTGAGCTCTTTATTGTCTCTATACCAATGTGTGGAGGGTCAACTAATGTATTTTAATCATGATGCAGAAATGCTAAGAAATCTCCTGGATCAGCAGAATGTTATGCACTTGGAAGGCTGAAGAAGTAGAGAAAGGACAGTCTGGCTGAAGTCCACTGACATTGATGGGGTTACACTGCAAAGAACGTAATCCATAGTCTGTCTTCTCCAAAAGAGAAAAAAGGCAGACTCCCCTGGCCAGATCACTAGCAAACCCCATTCAGTTCTTTCCCAAAATAGCCTTTTTTGGTCCAAACTCCTGAAAAATGTCTATCCTTGCTTGAAACATACCCATGCACACGCTGCCACTTCCCTCAGTAAAGAAGCTCAGACCCATATTCTCAAAGTTGTTTGTGTGGCCCTGCTTGAGGATCTAGGCTATTGGCATTACCATCTCAGCTGGACGAACGTCAAAAGCTCCTGGCTGGTTCCACTTGGACAAGCAGCCGAAGGTTTGCATATTTATCACATTTATCAAATGGCCTCCACGGCCTGAATGATCAAGACTGCGGATCTCAATGGCATGCATAATTACCGTCTGTTTGTGGGCATGCAAATAAAAACATTTGTGCTCTGGCAAGTCAGGCTGATAATTCCGTAAGAATACATTTTCTTGTGAAACTGTTGTGATGCAGCACTTTGCAATAGCTTGAGGTGCCCCAAGAATGGCTTTTTTTTTTTTTTTTGGACATACCCATGTTCTTGACAAGGTGGAACACAGGAACTGGGGGGGGGAAGGAGGGAGATTCACCTAATCTGCACATCTGCAAATCCTGAGAAAGAGCAATTCTGGGAGAAAGTATGACAGGTTGGTATTTTTCTACTCTGCTCTGAAGTGGTTTGCTCCCGCATCAGAACTAGGGGCCGTTGTGCAAAATTGTCTCTTGAGGGATTTTTTTTTATATGCAAAGCCGTAACTCCACGGCAATTCAACAGAAAGAAATGAGCAAAGCTCTTTTCCAATGCAATTTTGGGCTGCTTGGCGAACAGAATTCAGAGCGCAAAGGGAAAGAATCGATAGGTAAGTAATGATTTCTAGACACAGCTGCTGCGCTGCCTTTCCAAGGTGTAAGAAAGCAGCTATACGCCAATGACCAGACTTGGAGCTCCTTCTGCTGGTTCATGCATAATTCTGCACTGTAGCAGAATATAAAGGCTGCAGCTGCATAGCAAGATCGTTTGGCAGGGTGGGGGTTGTGGAAATCTGTTCAGAATGAGAAAAAGAATACTCCAGGGTTTATAATTTGGCTAGACAAAACTGGTAAAGAGAGATGCTGCGCTGTCAGTTGAAATCATGTCTTTTTTTAGTACTAGGCAACGTCACTTGAAATCTTTTGGATTTCTCAGCTCAGAAGAAAACAATTAAAGAGATTTAAAACTCTCTCTTTTTTTTCCTTCTAGTTCTTTTTTTCAAAGTGTCTCTTCTATCTGAGGTCACAACATGACTTCAGTAGCACTTGAAGATTTAGGAGCATGCTATTAACTCACAGGCAATCCACATGGACACGTGCAGACAGACCCAGTTATGATATAGCAGGACAGCTACATTAGCACTGCACCTTTCCGGAGTTAATACAAAACACACACAGAATACACTCAGATTTGCCTATATATATATATATATATATACACACACACCCATGAAAACTTGCCTTACAAGCTGTTTATTCCATCCTCAACCTTTAAGATTTTAGCTCATACTTTGATCAGGAGCTATTTCATAGGCTTTTCTTCTACCTAGCTGTCTAGATACCACGCTGTTCATTAGCCAGAGTTGAGTGGGAGACAATAAAATATCAACACCTGCGTTCTCTACTGGCCGAGTGGAGGCTGCTGGTAGGAAAGGAAGCAGTGCTGCGCTACGGAACCTTTCATCTCCCTCTGATCTCAGTAGCAGCTGAGCCAACTTGCAGCTTTCAGGAGCCATGCTCTAAAATCCCATAAATTCAGTGTCCTCCTGAATATTGTAACCCATACACAACATGGGGTAGCCAGGAACATACCTCAAGAACACTAATTGTCGTACGGTTTATTACTCCTGCAATGGCGACGAGTTTAAGTCAAAGAAATAAGCAGTAATGGCTGAATGAGTCCAGCCCTTT